TGTGGCACGTAGTGTAAAAGCGCTTTGAGTGGTCAGAAGACTAGAAAGGCACTATACAAGTACAGGTCCATTTACCTCTTTTCACCAACTTTTCTTCACTGCTGTGGATGGACAAATGTGCACCAGTTAACTGGAAACTCTAGATAGGACACAAACCAAAACACACAGAAAGTTGTTGCATCCAAACAATCAGACAAATATATAAATCATAAATAAGAACAATAGCATCATTAGCATCCTGGATTTTGAATAAAAACACAAAAATACTGTATCAGTACCCTCTTCTCATGAGTAGCACATGGTCTACATGGGACTGCCAACACTTGCTGTAGATGGTTCATTGTGGCCACCTTGTGGTAGATTCTGGTGCTTTTCTTTCCATCTGTACAGTACATATGGACCATTCATTCTTTTAAAGGATTTCCCTATAGCTTAGGCTTAAATAATATAATTAGGCTTACTTAAAGTCTGCTCAACAACACTCAAGCAGACCTACTGTTTTGCAATCGTATGTGGTAAACCCACTGGTATTTTTAAAATCTTAATATTACACCTATTTGTTTTCTCTCCTCAAAAAAAACCCTTTTCTATTATTTTTAAAAGTTGAACTGTTGGACGGAAGGCGCCTCCTACATGACTGAAAGGTCTGTTATCAGGGCACTCATCAGGATTCATGTTTCCACACAAGTTGCATACTGGTTTCCTTGTGCTGTCACAATATCCTGCCTTTAGATTCACAGTGGTTTTTTTAAGATCCTTAAGTTTTTCAGATTTAAAGTGAGAGAAACCTTCTGCTCTTCAGTGGTAAGTAGTAGCAGTAAGCAACACACATTTGCGAGCAGATACATTAACAAGGAGTCCAAGTAAGCTCCTTATAAAATAGATCAAAACTTAACTAGCCTTACTTCACATGGGAAGACACTTAAAGCGTGTTATTTAAAGTGAGACGAGGTAACCGGGATTCAGACACGAAGGGCCATGTGATGATACTCATGCGAAGAGCGCAAGGCACTCAGTTTGATTGTATAATTAAACAGTGTCTGCTGGTTAAAGGAGGGGGGCGGGGTCCCGCATGAGTTTATCAGACTCGGCTGGACGGACAACAATACGCCCCGCCCGATCTTGAATCAAGGATCAAGCAGTACGCACTCAACTAACTTGTCACTTAAAGGTGATTTCATTTTCAACTTTTTTTTGGCCACATCCAGTGAAACGTGAAAGTGGCCGCTTTTATGGTCTGATTGGGGCTTCAATCACCCACTTTTAGCTGAGATATTTGGTGTCTTTTTGAAGTTCTGCTTTTTTCTATTTATTTTGGAGCCCTGTGGGTCTCCTTCTCTCTCATCACCCGGCTCTTAGCTCTGCAGGCGGCCGTGCGTTTGCACACGGTGCGCACGGTGGTAGTCACAAGGCTGCATCAGATATTTACCAGTTTGCACCCTGGCTGGTTTAATAGGATGTCCAGCGGGTGTTGAACACTTTTCCAAGAGGAGGCAACAGGAGCCGAAGAAGACCACAGCAAGAAATAGAACTAAAGTTTGGATAAACAAAACTTTAGCTGTCTCAGAAGTACTTTTTAAACTTAAATTACATTTTTTTTAAAGCAGTTTTTGTTCTAGTGTGGACATTTTATTTTTTATTTTTTTTACTACTTTGAGGACTTTCCCTAATATCTGACATTCTCCAAGACATCAGTCATGTTCAAGAAGAAGGATCCAGAGAGACTTCACCTGCTGCCAGACACGAAGAAGGCATATGCCACAGAGGGAAGGTGCAGTTTTATTTGATTTTTTACATTTGCGCAACATAAGATCATATTACCATTCTTGTAAATTACTATTATTTTTTAAATCAGATATTACTCAGTGAGTTTTAGAGACACACAAGTCACAGCCTAGAAAGTTTGTCAAATCTGAAGTAAAGGAGCCAGTTTCCATTGCGGCGGTTGTGCTGTGGGCAGTGTCTTTTTGCTCACGTTCCCTTGTTTGTGAACCACTGGGTTTTTCCACACGGGACTGGTCTGGTCTGGGCTGAGAGAGCTGCTGGGATTAGCAGTGCGCAAAAAAAAGGTGCATTTTAGTCAAGTCATGGTTTGGCTGCTTCCGGTCATCACTGATGGAGACGTCACCCTCACAGACAGAGAGAGAGGTGTGCACAGCGGTGTGACCCAATTCTCCATTAGTTGTGTTATCCACCCAATTCCTTGTATAACAACAACATTATAGTAAAGTCTGTGTGTGACTGTTTTATGGTAGATGTCCATGGTGATAATTACTTTGCCCCTCTTTGTTGTCATGTTTCTGTTGAGGCTTAATCCTTGATCAAATACTGTTATTTGTAGAAATAGATGTAGGCCTATTGTTACCTGTTGAGGGGGGATAGCTGTAGGGCAGTGTGACTGTCTGCAGGTGAAGCTTTGATCATCTTCCGCTGGTTTATCTAATTATCTAAATTTGGGGCATTTTCATGCTGTTGCCTCTTGATTCTTCCTCAAAGTGTGATCAGCTGACTGTAGTTGGTTCTGGTGGTTAATATTATTTATTGCTTCATTAGCATATCTATTATTATTATTATTATTATTATTATTATTAGCATTTAAATTGCCACTTTGGTTTAAAGCTCCTCAGTAACTTGGAAAAATACAACAACTTAATAGATTAATTAAAACAAACCCACTTCAAGAATGAAATTTGAAGGTATTTGAAGTCTGTTTTTGTTTTCAATCAATTTTATTCATTTTGATGAATAGAAGAGAAAGTGTTGCAGAATTGATACTTGTTGCCAACAAATTTGAGAAATGGATAAACTCATTTATAAAGTAAAACTTCCAAACAATTGCTTGCTCCTGGCTCTCCAATGTGGGGATTTGCTCTTTTTCACAGTTTTTATATCATTGTAAATTGAATATCTTTGTGCTGTAGTTCGCTCAAAAGCAAGTGATCTGAATATGACGCCTTGGGCTCTGCAAACCTTTTGACCTATTTAAAAGAGGAACAGTTAATCAATTTAATGAAATATTAAATATTGAACTGACTAATCAGTAATGAAAATAACTTGTTACATCCTAAACAAATGTTAAAGAGTAAGCTGTAGGAGAATAGAGGATGTCATATTCTGTACAGACTGTAAAGCCTATTGCAGCAAATGTGTAATTTATGATACTGCAATACACAGATATTGCTCAACTGCATGCTTTTATCTGCTGTCACCTCATTGCATTCACTCTGATTTTAATGTACATCCAGCGTGTCCGACCTGGAGGCATTACAGATAGACGGAACTGGTGGCATAAAGCACTGCCATGACAACAGCCATGCACAAGAGGATCGCGAGCGAGAGAAGAAAGTTGCCAGGAAGAGGTTGTATGTGGTCTCTGTCATCTGCCTGGTTTTCATGATCGGTGAAATCCTTGGTGAGTCATTCAGTTCTTCTCACCTTCTTAAATCCATTTTTGATAGATTTTAGAGCCAATACATTTTCCGTACTGTACCAGTGAAAATCCGATGCCTGTTTAGTCTGTAACAGCTGATAATTAGCTGTTGGCTTAACTGTTTTAAGTTAGTCAGTGATTTATTCACTCTTTATCTCACAGGTTTCTTCTCTTTGTCACCTTTCCTCCCATGTGTGACCTTTGTCTTTCTCTATCTTCCATTTTGTTGTTGTCTTCTTTCACTTCCTTTTCTCCTTCTCTCTTCCTTAAAATTTCCATTTCTGCCAAAATTTAGTTTCTATGAATCTTTATTGCCTTTTAATGGATAATGACATCTGTAGAGTGACAGGAAATAGAGGGGTTGAACACAGCAAAGGGGGACACAGGTCGGATTCAAACCATGGCCACTGCAGCAAGGTCTCAGCCTTGGTAAATGGGGCTTTACCAGTTGAGCTACCAGGGCGCCCCCTCGATAATGAATCTTAATAACATTGGTGACCACCTGATGTTTCAAACTAGTGCCACCATCCATCAGCTTAACATTTGTGGTTTTAAAGGTCCAGTGTGTAACATTTAGGAGGAGCTATTGGCAAACATGGAATATAATATTCATAGGTATGTTTTCATTAGTGTATAATCACTTACAGAGGGAGCGGGTCGCCTTCTCTGTTTATACAGTAGACAAACCAAACACTGGCTCTAGATGGGACTGTTGCCGTTTTTATGGCCACTGTAATTTCTCTTTCGCTCTTAGAGGGGGGAGGGTGAAGCGAGGGAGTTGAAATCTGCAACTAAACTGATAGATGCCACTAAAACCTACATACTGTGCCAGCGCCATTATCACTTTAAAATTCTAATTTGTCAAGTACTTGGACGAAATCCTTCAAAACGCTGCTAATTAGCTTGCTAACATGTTAAATCAATGCAGTGACCATGATAAGCATTATACCTGCTAAGCCTCAGCAAGTTAACATTGCCAAGTCAAGTTCTTTATTGTCATGCACAACCTTTCTCCTGTCTCTTTTCTACCACACTAGTATGAATCTAACATTTGTATCAAACATTGTCTGTCTTTCTGCAGGTGGGTATTTTGCAGGCAGTCTTGCAGTGATGACAGACGCTGCCCACCTGCTGGTGGACTTCACTAGCTTTATCATCAGCCTGTTATCACTCTGGCTCTCCTCCAGACCTGCCACACATAGGCTCAGCTATGGCTGGCATCGTGCAGGTACAGTGTTGACATTGTTGACTGTTCACTTATTTGTCAGATTTTAAAGCTGAGCTATAAACTATTTTCCTGTGACACTTAAGTGTGTATATATACAAAAACCACTTTCCACTAGATGTCGCACTAGAGCACCAGCATCTCAGACCGAAACAATGGGAGCTACAAAACCAGTCATTTTAACTTTCAGATAATCGTAAAACACGCTTCAAACTCGACAGAAACAACATAAAAAACCTCCAGAGAAAGACCTTTTTCTTTATCCCAAAACAGCCCTGATATTGGTATCCTTCTCCACCAGACTCTATAGACAAAAATGGTATATCATGCAACATCTTCATTCAGAGTGGACAGAAACAAAATAAAAGTTATGAAAACCATACAGGAGGATGATTTTTAGACCGTCAGTGCAAATTCAGTTGTTCTCTGTACCAAATATGTCGATGCCTAATTGGCCAAGATTTTAACCAGAAAATCTGTAAAATGTTACTTTAGTCTGATAAATTGAGCTTGTCTACACTCTTGACACTTGAACGCCGCGTATACAGTTCTCCCGGTTATGTAACTGTACTGAATTTCAAGCAATTTTCAGCTTCTTCTTTGTGTCAGTATCACAGCAGTATCACAGCAGTTGAATCACAGCTCTTGTATTTCTTCTGGTTTCTTTTTTTCCTCGCTCTCCTCGTCTCTTCACCCTTGCAGAAATCCTCGGCGCGCTGCTGTCAGTTTTCACCATCTGGCTGGTAACAGGAGTTTTGGTTTATCTGGCTGTGGATCGCCTCATCAACGACGACTACACCATTGAGGGCACTATCATGCTCATTACTTCTGGTTGTGCTGTGTTAGCTAATATTATGTGAGTAAAATCAGTACTCATTTATACAGCTTTTATCAGCGCACAGCGTGCCTTTGAATATTTCTGATTTAATTAATGCTAATACAGAGAGGAGGGCGAGTTGTAGTGTGTTGTCAAACCGCCTTGTATCTCAGAGCTGATTAATTTACTTTGAAAATTGTTCCTACTCTCAAAAGCATGGCCCTCACCCTTCACCAGTCCGGTCACGGCCACAGTCACGGGGGTCTCAGCTCACATGGGCACGGGCACGGCCACAGTCACGAGAAAGGAAAAGGACACAAACAGATCTCAAACCACAACCACTCGAATGATGAACATGCAGATTTGGAGCGAAATGGGGTTAATCATGGTATGTTACTAATATTAAAGTCATTATTTTGTCACTTTCTTCCAGAATATGATTACATGACTTTTAAATCCCCCCCCTTGCACAGTAGTCTGTAATGTGACTGAATATGCACTGTGGGGGGCATCACAACCCATTATAATTACATTATAATGGAATATTTAATGAATTATAATCCAATGTATAATTATATTTAGAGCATGGATCTTACTGAATTACTTTCTTTCAGGAGGAAGGGCTCAGCAGGCCAATGCCAGTGTGCGAGCGGCCTTTGTCCACGTGGTGGGAGATCTTCTCCAGAGCATCAGCGTGCTTGTCAGCGCCATCATTATCTTCTTCAAGGTTAGGTGTCTCTCTTTACAAAAAGAAAAAGAAAAGTGTGGGCCATTTGTTTAAAAAAAAAAGTAATTTAATGTAAAATATAAATTTCATGTGTGACCAATTTTTGATATATGCTAAAAGAGTTATTTTCTTAGTTCTGTGTTGTCACATTATTACATATTAGTGATTACATTATAGTGAAGTTGTCCCTTAGTTGCCGAAGTTGTGTTTTGGCTTAAATCTGGCTGCTGTTGGTGTGAGGATACTGCAGCTTACATTACTGTAGCTCCCATTTATTAATTCTGGCATTAGTTTTAACTTCCAACCTTGCATGGCTCTGTATTCTCGATGCTAAAAACGCACTCGCCCTTGAGGAATGTCGGAACAAAACAAGGCTGTTGCTGTCCATGTGCCTTTTTAATGGAGACAATAAAAGCCCCCAAAAATAATCTTAACAAAACAACAAAGAACAATGAATGAATTGTAGAATATATGGGTCTGTACAGACATTGTGCTTTTTCAGAACTACTATTCTTGAAAAATACTCAGTACAGCCTCAATTACCAAAACCGATGAAATAATTTAATTATGCTGATTATTAACACGTCTGACAATACTTAACATTCATTTTCTGTGTTATTTCTTTCTTTCAGCCAGAATATAAGATTGCTGATCCCATCTGCACCTTCCTGTTCTCCATATTTGTGTTATGCACCACCTTCACCATTATGAGGGATATTCTTATTGTCCTAATGGAAGGTAAGGTTCTCATTCCCTGACCCTTAAAACACACAGTTTGTACACAGCGTTTGCAGCTCTTCCTGATTCCATATTAAATGTAACATTTTTTTTTTCTTACCTTTCTTCATTGATGACTCAGGTACTCCAGCAGGGGTGAGATACAGTGAGGTGCGGGATGGTCTGCTAGCAGTGAAGGGGGTGACAGCGGTCCACAACCTTCACATCTGGGCCCTCACCATGAACCAGGCTGTACTGTCTGCACACGTAGCCATAGGTGAGAAGAAACTGCTTTGCTCAAATGCAAACACATTCTCTAATGAAACTATGAGCTTTCTGTACATATTTTTATGAAGAAAGTCATTCGGGACATGTAGCTAATGTTAGCGATTTACAGCAGGTTAATTCAACTATGTGGATGCAACCCCAAAATTGATGCAAGTACATCAAGTCCCCCTTTTTTTATTGCATAGTGCTGAACAGATGAGTTATTACTATGCAGTGGAAGATGTGTTTCTGCTGTCCTGATCTCACTGGGGAGCTCGTTCCACCATTGTGGAGCCAGCACAGCAAACACTTATGATTTTGTTGAGCGGTAGTGAGGTCAGTAGCAAGCCGATTGGCTAAGGGTTATGGTTTGACCATGTTCTGGATGTAGGACGTGCTGCTAGTGTGCCTCTGGACGTTTTTCCTCTTTTTTTTTGTGCAGAAACTTTGACTGTTGAAACACTTTTTAAAGGCACGTTTACAGTATAAACACACAAGGTTACTAACATTTGTTTATTGCTATTTCCTCCTTATTCTCTCCTCCACAGATGAGTCAGTGGATGCTCAGACTGTTCTAAGAGAAATGACACAGGCCTGTTTCTCCTCCTACAACTTCCACTCGGTTACGATTCAAATGGAGAGACAGGCCGACCTGAAGCCTGGATGTACCCTCTGTGAAGACCCAAAGATGTAGGAACCAGCCTACATTCTTTGTAGGAGCACAGCAGAATAAGGCCAGGCTATGTTTTAGCTGCTGTAACCTCTGGTGGTAACAATATTTAGTTGTTCCGCAATGATCATTCGACCCTGGGGTCTTGTGTTTTACTGTAACATTAATGCCAAAGTCACATGACTGCCTTCGTGCTGACATTCCCAAAGAAATGTTGGTTTTGAAATAAACAATGAGCATCTTCCTGAATGAAAAAACAACTTTCTCATTTAAATTGATTGAGTGTGTTGAGTGATTGCTATTTTATACTTCTATTCATTATCCTAAACACACATTTTAACAGTTTGTGAAGTTATGTGAAGCATACACTGTTTGTTAGAGCATTAACACACTGTATCAACCTAAGACATATGATACAGCGACCAGCATTTGCACACAGTCTGGTATGTAAATATAGATATATATTAGATAAATATTTCTATGTATGGACTATTACACCAGCAACCTCAGACGTACTGTATGTGGAGAGCATTAAGTATATTTCAATACATGATCCAAATGTCTTTTCGCTGCCTTTGTACAATTGTAAGGTAAAAGCTGAAATGAATTATTCAATAAAATATTCCTTTTTAAAATACTTTCTTTTGAGTCTAGCTTTCAAAGACTGATTTACAGTGTCATCTGCATCATACAAGATGAAGCGCTGTATCCATTTAACCCCTTATTACCTTTAGCAGCACCTCCGTTGCTGGGCAACAAACTCACAAATGGATCCATTGTCTTCAGGGGTATGTTGATCCCTGTTAAGTCTCCCACCTCCTTTATAAACCAGTTTGTGTATGATTTTTAATATACCTGGGCAGCTGTTTTGGGGTACCAGGGGCCCTCTGACAGTTACTGACAGTGTTTACAGCTTGTTTGACCCTGTTATGGGTGTCCTGAGCTACAGTTGCAGGGTACATATATAAAAGGCTCATTCTAAGGTAAAAACTATTCTTATATTGTACACTAATGAAAACATAGTTATGCATATTATATTGGACGCATATTCTTTACACCATATTTTGTAAAGCACTCTGAACCTTTAATCTACAGATTTTAATCTCATACATTAATTAATCTCATCATTTAATCGATACATGAGGATTTCTATAATCACCATTAGTCTATTTTTTTAAATTCTTTACTCCAAATTATACAATTATATCTTAACAGACTCTAGATAAGAAATAAAATAAGAAAAACGAGTAATAAAGCAAAAACAGCTATTCTCTAAATATATGCATCGTGCCTGGTAATAAGACATGGTTCTTCATTTATATGGCATAAATCTGTATTGAGTAGAATTAATTTATAGGTTCATACAAGTGAGTCTTTAGCACATAACCCACTCTACCTCCCAAACCACAGCAGTAGAGGTAGGCTAAGTGCATGTAGATATTTATGGAATATGAGGTATTGTAATACCAAAGAGATTATTACTTAAGTATTAGATAATAATAGTGAGTATTCTTTCATTCTTGCTCGTGTGCACAGTATTATGTACAGTTTACAGTACACATGCACACTAACCCTTATGCTTGCCCTCCCACCCATACACTTTATACCTGTTTCCCATACCTTCAGATATACATACTAATCCCATTCTTGTGTCTTAAGACGTTTGGAGGTGAAGTTCACTGTGAGCAGTTGATGAACTTTTCATGCTGCTGCCTTCAGAGCAGACCATTGTACTCCCTTCTCTCTCTCCGTCTGAACTTAGCCCTGGAGGGACCAGATCAGTGTGTATTTAATTAAAGCATGAGTAATGCACTAGGTGGCTAGATAATCCGTTTTAGTCCCGATACCCCCTCAGCTAATAATTATTACACGGTTTGTGTTTCCTCATAAGGGGTGTTCAGTCTGTCTCCCTTTTTAGTTTTTTGTTGCCTTTTGCACCCTCTCCAACTCTTTTTTTCCTGTTTTTTCTCTCTACTTCATCCTTCTCTCTCACTCTCTCTCCGTCTGTCTCAGTCTTGCTGTCTCGCCCTCTCACGTCCAAGGTTCAAGCCCCTGCAGCATTGATGAGATGATGCAGTACAGCCGTCAGTTTCAAGGTAATATGTGTTGCCTGATGTTTTTTATGGAAGAGGCCTCAATTACATGCACATGAAGTACAGCATGCTGACACACAGAGCTAATGAGATACTGCACTACCTATTTGTTCAATTATTTATTTGAACTTTCTTCTTTCTGCTCTCCAGTAAGGTGGCAACCGCATAAAATTGGGGAAAGGGAAATGATAATGATAAGAAACTTGAAGACCATGTGATTAATAATCTTTGATTTTGAATGTTTGAATTCACAAGAATGTTTTGTCTCAATGAGGTTCTATTACATAAAGAAAAGCCATTTGAAATCAAAGCATTTTTCCATCAGATTGCCTTGATGTGATCAGTCAATTCTTTTGTTTCTCTCTTTACTTTGATCAATGATGATTAGATGATCTCTCAAGTCCGTAGCTCAGCCCGGTCCCCCTTAAACACACACAAAATGAGCATACACTCACACACCCACATTCCAACCTAATCCACGGATCTAATGTGTGAATGAACTTAGATATTTTAAAAATTCTTTCTCATAATGTCAAATGTATAATTCAGCAAGAGAGCAGAGAAAGCATATTTATCTCACTACCTGCCTCCACCCACTCACCGTCACTACTTTCTCGTCCCAATTAAACACCCCAAGAAGACAGGCTGGATGATTATAGAGAAACTCATTTCCAAATGGCTTGCCTCAGTTGGTCTGGCGGTATGGCAGATGGGGATTGTAAGAGTAACGCTCATTCATCCTGGCAAGCTAACCAGCACTCTGTCTGCAATTAAGAAGTTGTGGGCAGTCAAGTGAACTTGACACAGTATTTTTCATATCAGGGTTGCAAGTTGCAGATAGGGTGTTTTTTTGAGAAAGAGAATAAGTGAAAAGAAATTACTTCAGGTTATTATTACACCAAATGTGTTCCAGATAAAAGGAAATTGAAATACAGCCTGTAACCCCAAATTTGAATGAATAATGTAAATTAAGTAATAGGCATCCTAATCTAGTTTTTCAGCCCCACTCAAGCCTGAAGGCAAAGCCTTTCTTTTTTCAATAAGGCTCTTATTTTCAGTCTCTGTAAATCAGAAGAGTAATTGTAATTCTGCTGCATGGCAGAGCACATGCTGAAGAAGCAGCTTTGTATAGCCTGTCTATTTCTGACACCTTGTATTTTAAATTAATTTAAATTCTGATAGCTCACAAAATAATCCAAGCACAGCTGTACAGTACACGTAATGGGTGGATGGATTTGATTTAACAGAGTAGACAATACACCCATTTATGGGATGAATTTAAATTATGCTTACTAAAAAAGTTATAATGACCCATGAGAAGCAATCATGTGGCGTAAATTGGCCTGGGGGCTGATGAAGTCAGATGTGTGTGACTTGGCTCAGCTGTTATATAAGAGTAGTCCAGCATATGGCGCTGTTACCCTGAGCAGTCTGAACAAGTTTGCAGTGCGCCTTGCTTTACCGTAATGTCATTAATCTCGAAGCATTTGAAGGGAGGGTGTCCATTTAAAAGATAAATATTAATCACATTGAATTAAAAGGGATATAACATTTCAGTTTATGTAGATTACAACATCTTCTTCGAGTAAATATCACATTAAATCACTAAAAAGTAACATTTCCAAGAGGCGCCTCTACTCCACCATTTACCGCCTCCAGTCGCGGTGTCAAGACGAACTCTCGCGATAGTTGCGGCAGCTGAGATCCTAGGAGCAGAGCAGGAAAACTTGACATGTCAACAAAACAGATAAATTATCACCACACAGGTAACATTACACGTTGTCTAGTATGCTATTAAATAAAAATGAACACTGACTGCGATGTTAAGAGTCACGTAGTGCCGGAATAATCAAAACAGCACCAAAAAAAGAAGCGATAAAAAGCTGAAGTGTCGTGTGGTGTGCCTGTCCACTTTAGCTTTTGGTGACAGCCAGTCCACATGTTAGCTTCATTAACCCGTTATCCTACTCAATGCATGTGTGGGTGTGTTAATTGAAGTACAGGATAGCGTCTGATAGACTTGTACTGACATAAAGGCACGTTTAACTACCCGATATACAACTTATATTAAAGGCTATAGCGTAAATCAGAGTTGGAGCTTTTTTTTTGAGCTACACAGCGTTTCGTTTTGGGTGATTTGTGACAGCTGTGAAGCTTTTAAAGAGCTGTACTGCGTTTCCTGAGTGAATACATGGTGTTGTACTTTATTAACAATACTACTCTGGCTGACTGAGTATACAAGCTAAATATTATGCCAGTAATATATTATGTAACCATCGTTTCCTTCTTCTCATCTTAGGAGAAATGCAGTGACTTCCATTAACTGTCAACTTCTCCTTTCTTTCCCCGTCACCTTGATATTTCTCCTTTCCTCTCTGGAAAACACTTTCCACGAAGGCATGTAAGGTGTGTGCTGGTGTGGAATAAGCCTTGAACGGGGTCACCTCACCTGGACCTTCACCTACATCTCCTCCACCAGCATCTTCACCTTCAGTTTCCATGACAACCCCTCCGCTTGTGTCGCCTTTTGGTGGGCAGCCTCCGCCGCCGCAGCAGCAGCAGCAGCAGCAGGCCCAGGCAGCACGGGATGTGAACACGGCCTCGCTGTGCCGCATCGGCCAGGAGACGGTCCAAGACATTGTCCTCAGAACCATGGAGATCTTCCAGCTCCTCAGGAACATGCAGGTCTGCCTCACTCAGTATCTCTGCCCACAAGCCTGTCCCCCTTCAGTTGTCTTTTTTTGTCTCTCCTACTATCTTTCATATGTTTTGCATAGTTTTCCCAGCCCCAATGTCCTTAGAAGACACTTAAAACTATAAGTATGATGGGTAGAAAACTGCACTATGGAAATACAACATCACTGAACAGGTCTATACAAAAGATAAAAGACATAATATAAACGTAAAATGCCAAAAGATAAACACAAAATAAAAAAAAATAGCAATAATAGGTCTGATGATAACATGACAGAGCACTATTATGCAAATAACAAAAGAGCTGTCATTCAGGAAGGCAGTTCTTTAAAAAGGTGTTTTGATGCAAGATTTAAAAGCAGACAGTGCACGCTGACTGAATACTAAATGTAATGCTCTTCCAAAGCTGAGACATCAGTACAACCAGCCAAAAGCATGAGCAACCCTTGATTTTCAACTTTTACTCAGCATCAGCTCTAAGGTTTATACCAGTGCATCAAAGAGGCATTTGAGGACAGTAGAAAGTTTCATTTAAGCTGGTGACCACGTAAGGCCTTTATATGGATTCTAAAAGAACTTGCAACAAGTGCAGAGAAGTGTAGGAAAAAAGTTTGGTCTCAGTCAGTAACCTGGCTGCAAAATTCTGCACCCACATTGCTTGAGCATTTAAGGACCAGTGTGTAGGATTTAGTGGGATATAGCAGTTTAGTTGCATTGCATTTGAATACAGCTGAGCCTTCCAAGCGTGCAGGAGGAACTACGGTGGCTGCAAAAGCGTGAAAGGTTTGTCTGTTCTGAGATACTGTCGAAACATGGCGGCCTCCGTAGAAGAGGACCTGTTCCTTCTGTAGATAAAAAAATAGCTCATTTTAAGGTAATGAAAATACAGTTATTCATATTTTCAGGTGAATAGACACAACCTATAAATATCATATTCCATTTTTGCCAATAAGTCCTCTTGAATGTTACATACTGGACCATTTATGGCAGGTAATGAAGGGATTTTTGAATAAATTGAGTATTTGCTCAAAGTTAAGGTGACTGTCACAAACTGTACCAAAGATCTTACAAAAACACTTACATATGTTAAGAGTAATGGGTTAAAGCACTGGTTGCATTTGTGAAGAGAGTCTGATGATTAGGGCCTGTTGGAGAGCAACATCCAGTCTCTCACATGGGCCAAGCAGCTGTTTAATTTGGCCAGATTGTTGAATTCAAAGTTTGTTTTAGCAGAATTGTGTGTTGTCTGCCTTTCCAGTGGATTTGTTTTAAATGATGATAAATAATGCAGATTTCCCAACAGTGATGTTGTATGACAAGTGTTGTCAAAGTGTTTATGATAAGAAATACAACCAAGCAAGGATGTTGCTCTCTTGGGTGTTCGGTTGAAGGACCACTACTTTCTCTCTTTGTCGTTGAATGTAGAAGGAGCTATTTTAGATAAAAAAGCAATGATCAGTGCCGCAGACTAACTTTTGGTTCTACATTTGCATCACGCGCAGTATGCTGTCTGAAATATTATCAGTGTAAAGTGCTTATGAGTGATACTGATAGCTCCAACACGTCTCTAATTGTTACACAGTACATTAGTGCAATCAAGTGATGGCGGAAAGTTAATCTAGGTGATTCCTTGAGCGTTTTATTTTGGATTACAGGAGTCTTCACACCAGTTTGCTCTGCAGTTCACATGTAGTTCAGCCCTGACGGTGTCCTGAAGACGAGGTCAGCATGAGTTTATCATGGATGTCTGCCTGCTCCTCTGAGACGCTCCTCCCGCACCTTGTTAAAATCACAGCCAGAGACGGGCCAAACAAGCACGCCTCAGCCACAGAATGCACAAACAGCATTGTTGTGACTTGTTTTTTAGATCCCAGGCTGTCTTTATACTCATAAAAATTCTTCATTTATCTTCTCTTCCCTCCCTCTCTGTCTGTATGTCTGTCTCTGTTTCGCTGTGTCTCTCTTCTTTGCTTGCCCTGAAGGCAGGCTTGTTTCATGTTATGTAGGATGTTTATAATCAGACAGTGCTACCCCGGAGGCTTGTCGATCCTCTGAATAAAAAAAACAAAAAAAACATGTCTTGTTACTCTTTAACACCCATTGTAGTTAAAAGCCAGTAATGCTGCCTTAGTGTGAGAGTGAAAACATTCAGCGTGCTGCAGCTGAAGCAGTTAACCTTTGATGCAGCTGAGTTTGTGTTTGGTAGTTTAAACTGTGATTTTATTATATTATCAAGACCAGACGCTATATTGTGGCCTCAACACAAAAATGTTAGACACATTTTTTCCTCTGTAGCCCATTTGCTAGAAAGGAACCCATCACTTTGTTATCGGGAATGAAGGTGCATCTATTGTGCATTAGTAGAAGGCTTCTAATGACCTATTACCAGTTAGGGAACAACAGAGGGGTTTGTAGTGCTCTTGGCAGTCAATGGGGATCAATGACTGTTGCTTTTTATTAGCTCTAGCTAATAAAAAGTTTAGGTTTGTACTTTGCTTAACACAAAACATTTCCTTTGTGGTGCTTCTCAGCTGCCTAATGGAGTCACTTACCACCCCAACACCCATCAGGACAGGCTGGGAAAACTCCAGGAGCACCTACGGATGCTTTCTGTGCTGTTCCGCAAGCTGCGCCTCGTCTACGACAAATGCAATGAAAACTGCGCTGGGATGGACCCCATACCTCCAGAGGTGAGACATGGTGACACGGACAAGATTTGACAACATTTTCTCATATTAATGTCATTGGAAGGCAAGTGTATGTGTTTGCAGTGCGTTATCAGTTGTTTGGGCCAGTGTGAATACAGGTAATCATTGGTGAGTGTTGTTGCTGTAGCACACACTGGACATGTCACACTGACAGAAGTAGTTTACTTTGGTTTACTCTGCATCAGCTGGCACCCAGAGGAGAAGCACTGCTGTGCATTGGGTATTTTCAGCTTTTTAGACAGAAGTAGTAGTCAGGGTACAGTAGCTGGACTGTGTTGATCTGGGTAACAAATGTCATCATAAAATTGTGACGTTGATGTTGGAAAATAGTAGGGCCGCCACCCATGACGCCAGCAGGGCAGGATGTAAACTTTACAAAACGAGTCTCAAAATGCACATAAAACTAACTGTGATGGAATCAGAGAAGAGGGATAGTTAATGGAAGACAACGTGACGCCGGACAGCTGAGCAGCAGGTGCTCCGATGCTCTCTGCTCTGGTATTGACTGTCAGTAAAAGCGGCTAAACCACTTTCGAACCAGACAGTGGTACGCCTTCCTCTACTGCCTTCCTCTACTGCCGTCCACTATGACTCTTTGGCTGACAGCGCTGCAGCAGTCCATCAGCAGAGATCCTCCGTGGTGCGTGGTTCATTTTAGAACTGAACTATTAGCAAGCTGCGCTATTTTACTTTCTCTGAATTTGTGTGAATATGATGTTTTTTACATCACAGATGACGAAGAAAGGCATTAAAACATGAGACTCTTGGTAGCCACGTTTCCACTGCTGGTGATATAGAAGTAAGTAGTGTGGTATGGAACATAAAAAAAAGGGAACAAACAGTTTAATCTTTGTATTGATCAGCAAATCCAATCCAGCCCTAGAAAATAGGACAGTCATAGATATAACAACACATAACAACTGGTGCAAGTGTTTTGATGTGTGTAAGACACTGCATGTGTGTGTTTCCCTTTAGCCCTTTATCAGGTACAGTTTATTTAGTCTAACAGCTCTGGCACTTTAGGTTATATAAACCGTACCCAGGGACAGTTTACCAGTCTGAGGATGCTAGCAGCACCTCCAGCATTCATACAAATTTAAATCGATGAGCTTTCCAGTCTGATCACAAAACCTGAGCAGGGAGACCCCTTCCTAAAAAGTGACACGTTGACCCTGATTAGGACACTTGACCTGTGGAGGTCCCCTGTGGCCACCAGTAGAGTGTAGCATAGGAAAGGGTGTTATGGTATGAATATGAAGTCATATGATGTTGAAGGAGAAAATACTTAACTGGAAAGATATTTGCTCTAAGTGACTCAGTAATCTGTGCTCGTAAGAGAGCTTTTTAGAATGTAATAGAAAAGTCCCTTTAAATGAAATGAAATGTACAAATGCAATACAATAAAACAATCACTTTGCTTATATTAGATAGTGATTAATCCCTTATTATTATCTTTATTTTTCCTTACATTTTATTACATCATCGCCTAGTGTTTCAAATATTTTACCCCTCACATGGAGTAATAAAGGGCATGTAATGTAACTGTAATTTAATTTAATCTTTATTCAAACAGCCTAGGTTGGCTGAGCATACATGCTCTTTTACAACAATGTCCTTTCAACAGTTCAGAGAATAATATAAACAAGAACAGATAGAGTCAATAAATAAAAGGTAAACCTGACAGTAAACAAGATACAGGCTTAGCAAATCACAAGCATGCAGAGGACATTGTTATACAGCAATAATTACATTAGCAATATTCATTTGTGACCGATTTAAAAGGACATGTTCGCTGGTTTTCTGACAGTTCTCATTTTATCTAATGATAGTTACACTCTCAGTTGCTACTGAGATGTTATCCAAATCAAGTTTTGCTTTTAATACATACACAGTACAGCTACCTCTGCAGTAGAGCTTACATGGTGTGGCTGTAACTTCTGTGGTGGAACTACATTTTTAATCTGACGTTAATTGATCCCTCCAGATGCAAACCCATGCTGCATTTGCGTGCCGTGATTTTTTTCTGTGCGTTTTCAGCCTTTGCCTCATATAGCCCAGCTTTTCACACGAACTGCCTGCTAAATTAGGAAGCTGTTAGTTTCAAGGAAGTAGGCCATTGTTACTGCCACACCCCCTCGCTCATACACACACACACACACACACACATCTTTACCCCAGGGGACTCTTATCTCACTTACTCCCTCTAGGTCTGTCTTTTCTCCGCTCGCAGCAGATTCATTGGTCGCTTCAGGTGAGTCTCCAGAGTCTCTTTACTGCTGGTTACGGTCACCATCCACCTTCAGGAACAACAGCACTTCAGCTCAGCCCCACACCAACCCTCCCTGCCTGCCTGCACAGACGCACACAGAAATACACATGCATGTGCACAGTGGTGTCCCACACAGTGAATATATACAACATAGACATGCATGTGGTGCACTGTGGTCTGTCACAATGCCGTTTTTTCAACACACACGTGCACTTAGTTATGCACACACAGACACACACGCACACACATAAAGGCTCACTGTTCGAGGCTCCATGCAGGGCTACAGCTAGGCTATCCACCACTGTTTGATTGGATTTATGACTGCGGCAGTCCCTTCCCAATTTCTACAGATTGGCCTGGAGCTAATCTCTCTCACCAGACTCCTACTGAGGATAAAGGAGGATGTGGGAGGAGACCAGTCTTAAATTGGAACAAATTTGTGATGGCTGCCACCGCATTGAATAATACACTTTGCTCAGAAGCATTTCGAATAATCTATCCAATGGTCGTTCAAAATGACTCCGGTCTGCAGTTCCGGCCCTAAATCAAAACCTATGAGGGGTTCACTCTGACATTTTCCTTTGCTGTAATGGTGTAAACCCTCATTGAGTCATTACGCCAGCTAGCTATTTCTCTCCCTCTTATTTCCACCTTATTTAAATGTTTATTCGTTTCCCCTTGAGGCTGAGACCCGGTCCAGTGCTGACCAGCCAATAGCTCAGCTCGCCATGTTTGTCTGGGGGCTGAGGGTTGTTGATTTTGGCCCCAGCACACATGCCATTTATCATCTCGGAGAATTCAGGTGCCTTCCTGACAGCCGCTCACTATTGGCTGCCCGAAACAGGAAGTGGAATCAATGACTCGGGCAGTGTGACCTCATCGCAGCCTAATTAGCAACAGAGCCGTTTAATGAACAGCTGGACCAAATGCACACGTCAGCGCTTTGTGCTTTTTCTTTCCAGCTGTCATTCGTTGCTGCCCAGTTGCAGCTTTTTCCTTCCTCTTTTCCCTCAAACTCTCACACTTTTGCCTTCTTTCTGTATTTCTTTTCTCTCCCTTCTATACCTCTTTTTCCACCTTTCGTCCTTTTTTCTCTCCCTCTTATACTCATAGCTGCCCAGTATTGGCTCCCTCTCCCATTTCTTTCTTTCTTTCTTTCTTTTCTTTCTCTTTCTTTCTTTCTTTCTTTCTTTAAATCTGTTTGTTCATGTTGGCTTTGTTTCACTGTTTCTCTCCAGTTTTCTCTCCTGCTTTTACTCTGTTCCTGCTTTTCCTTTGTGCCAGCCTTCGTCCCCTCTGTCATTTCCTGCACCGAACAGCTATTTCATTTCCCTCTCGCTTTACATGTCCACCCTGTTATTTTCTTATTATTTTGTTAGTTTTGCGGCTTGTCTTTTCTACCTCTTTCCTTTTGTCTCAGCGAGGCAACCTGGAGAACTTCATTAGCCCATTCTTCTCTGTCAGGCAGGAAACCACATCCATCTTTCTGTGCAAGAGGCAGGGGTTATGACTCACACAGGCACACTCACACACACAAGCTGTGTGACTACACATGCACCCACTCACACACACACATAATACACTCTCCATCCATCTTTCCCACCCTACTCAGCACATTTCATTTTCCCCCCAGAAGCTGCCAAAATCTGCCCACTACCTTTAAATTCGATATGTCATTGGCTTCGGTATGAAATTATCTAATGAAAAAACTTTCCCCTTTTCCTACTTAAAGTTTTCTTGAACCAGAGACAAGCTTATAGTTTGTCTGATATAATATCCTGCACATGTCCTTGCTGTTTTTTCTCCTTCCAACAGTCGGGAGTTTACAGTTTGGCATGGACCTCGGCCTGGAAACTGACAGGAGCACAGAAAGTTATCCAGATTTCTTCGTCTTTCTGTCACTCTTTTTTCCCCTCTTAGCCTCTTTGTCTCTTTGTGTCTCTCTCCTCTTTTTTCTGATTTTGTTTTCTCTTCTCTTTCTTCCCCCCCTTTTTTCCCACCCGTCACCCTGCCCTCTTCAACCTCGCTTTTTTCTCTCTATCTGACATTTTGCCCATCATCTTGCAGTCTTCTCCTCTTTCGTTTGTCTACATTTCTCTCTGTCTGCTGTCGTTTTTTTTTTTTTGTGTTCCTTTTATGTTAGTCTTGATGTTGGCCGGCTCCAGCTGTACTGAAACACCAGTCAGTCATTGCTTCCAGACGAAGCAGCTTACTCCTATCATAGTCTAGTGTCCGCAGGGCCTGCAGCTGCACAACCTCAGGTCAAGCGAAGTAGTCAAGCAGAATAACGTAAAGAACTTTGCATGATTTAGATTAGCATCATGCCAAGTCGTTATTGGACCAAGGTGTGTTTTCCCACCGTATGGCAGTTTTTATTGGCTCCTAGCTGTTTGGAGAGTCTCCTATTTAATCTGTGTTTGCGATCTTGTCTGGTATGACAGTTTTTGTTTTGGGAAGGAAAGTTTATTTTTTTTCTTGCATCAGGAACTCCTTGCTTTAAGTGTAATGAACTATTGCAGATTGTTCTTGCTACTTCAGTTGAAACCCATTAAAGCGGTATCATGTGTCTGAAAATTGTGCACCAAAATTGGTATGTTGGAGAGTTTGAAACTATGGTCAACATAATAGATACTACCTCACTCCTGCTATGTATTTCTTGGGACTTCTGTAGCACAGACATGTAACTACATTTACACTGTGTGTGCATTACAGTCTCTTGGAGTCCATTTCCCTTCAGTAGCTCATCAAGCATAGCAATCACACATTCTCAGTATAAGACCCTTTATGTAATTGCTGTGCGTTGTACAAGGAACAGTGTGTTTTCAAGACATTCACACACTACTAGATGTGTGACTGCAGCAAGCTTCCTGCTGTCCTCCTCCCTAAGGTGACCACTAGGGGGCAGTGTGATGTAAAGCAGCAGGCAGTGACCCTGTCGGCTCTCAGGAATGCCGCCTTGCCTGAAGGCTCTTCACATCAGGCACATCAGCCTCACTGTAGTGTCAAGCAGACAAGGTCAAGCACACAGAGCATTGAATGAATGAATTAATCTCCCACTCGCTTTCTGTCACTCGTTCTCTCTCCCTGTCTCTCTGTACGGTGAGGAGCGACGGGTGAGACTTGTACTGTGTTCAAGAGCTTACACAGAATCCCCATTTTCACCCTTTCATGGTAACAAGATTATGAGACAGCACAGGCATATCTTGAGTATTTGGAAACACCCATAGGTTGAGATTGCCTATACGTACATAAATCTGACCTATAACTGCACTCACCAGGTATATAGGAAAAAAACGAATATGTAGCCCAGTGCTTTTAATGTATTTGAACTATGGGCGTATGGGAGTAAGAGGGGAGAGGAACAAGAGAAAAGTGCATTAGGGACGAAGTTTTATTCCAGAAAGACTCTTAAAACATTTATTGCCACAAAACTGAAACTGTTAGCGATACTTTCAGTGTTGATTGTGTATGTACAGTACCACTGTAAATGATAAACTTAAGCAGTCCAAATCAGTTGAATAAGTCAGCATTTTGGAAGTGATCATCTTACAGTTGTCTTGCTTACAGTAAATAATATAGCCAGATTTTTTTGTTCGCTGTCCCTTCCAGCAACTGATACCCTTTGTGGAGGATGACAGCTCAAAACACGAGGATCGCTCGGCCGCCCAGAGCCGCCCTGCCACCGAGGAGAGGAGAGAAATCCTGGAGGTCAACAAGGTATTGTGTTCTGTATCTCAATAGCACCACACTGTTAGGGTTACAGGTTTGATTCCCAGCCAGTGGTAATGGAATGAGAAGGTGAGGGGGGGTAATAAAAGAAAAATGAAAAAAGTTTCACAAACAAATTTTTTTTTATCACAGCTTAACATGATGTTATTTCAGATCAGTAAAGTTTCTGTTCACCTCTGAGATCCATGAGCCTCCAGACATTTCAAATCACATTTACCTGAGCTGGAGGGAAAACAGCATCAACTAAAAGATAGGAAATAATAATTAGGCATGAATTTCATTACAGATTAGTAATTTTACTCACCATCATTAACCTGAGGGTTTAATAGCCGACTTTCCATTATTTGGATAGCAACCGTTCAGGTTGTAAAGACGAGGTTTGTTAAGAGGCTACACTTGATAAACTTTATTGTCTGCGGATAGAGTTTGTGTGTTTAAAGGGGGCAATATGCTCGTGGGAAATGCTATTAACAAGTATTGCATTTCCAAATTTGGAGTCTACATTCATGTAGTTTGTCATTCCAAGCTCTGTGTAAATCTTTTGTAATTTCCTCTCTAGGACTGTAAAAGTATTTGGGTGTTCGTGCATGTAGATTCTGTGCAGGCGTGGGAGGGAATAACTTGATGACAGCCTTTGTTTGTTAGCGAAGGACATCTACTGAAGTAGTCAGAAAGCTCCAAGGTGGCATGGCACACGGTGTGGATGAGATTTGCCCTTGGATGCTGCAGGCTCTGGATATTGTTAGGGTATCTTACTTGAAAATACCTCTTCAACATTACATGCACAGTACCTATGGACTGGCTCACAAGGGTTTTTAAAAGGGACTGGAAGGTGTGCTCCTGTTATCAGAGTATCACCCCGGTCAGCCTTCTTAAACCTGGGTTGGCTGGAAAGGAGGCTCCTGTTGATTGTTGAAACAAAGATTCACACCTGGTAATGGAACAGTGACCACAGGGTTTCTTAAGCTAAAAAAACAGCAGGAAATAGGAACAGGAAGGGCCATGTATTTAATGAATAAGGTATAACTGAACTATCATTAAGTACAGTAACTACCTCTGCTCACCTCATTTCCTGGGGATAGTGGAGGAGTCTTTGGAGTTTGAGAGAAGGCTCAAGGCGTTGTCCCTCAAGGTGTCTTGTGACAGGTAGTGCTAAGGCTGTGGCTTCAAGCTACCCGATAGGACCACTTGTGTAAGTAAAAGTTTTATGTAGTTAAGTAATGGCTTAGATGATTGTGACATATCTGGTTTACACTACTGACCACAAATCATAAAATGGTAAGAATGAATGGCTTTGTGTCGATAACATGCATAAAAGTGAGCTAGTTACCCTTTATAGTATATAAATGTGATGCAAATATCAAAGAGAATGAACTGACCACTGGCTGCAAGGTCTGACTTGAGCGAGATAGTAGCTGATGATGTTTTCAATATTAACAGAAGGAAAGAACAGATGATTTTTCTTCATATCTTGTGAGTGATGTTTTCACTTTTGGAGTGGTTTCAAGTGTCAGACATCAAACACACCTAAGAGCTTTTTCAAATATATTCACTGTCAGATATGTTTTGCAGCTATGATAGAGAGACTGTTTTATGACACTCTGAAGTGCAGAGCAGGGAGCTTTTCTTCAGACTGACACACCATGTTGTCAGTCAAAGTCTGAAAGATTTAATCCTGAGTCATGGCTTAGTTACATGCTACAGACGAGGGTCCAAGGCTAGAGGGTGTCGTATGCTGTAGACTGTAAAGCCCCTTGAGGCAAATTTGTGATATGGGATATTGGGATATATAAATTAACTTTGACTTGACGGACAAACAAGGTACATTTGAGCATGGAGATGCATCAATGAATTAAACATAATCCAATAATATTAACTAAATAAACTAAATTGTGGTTGAGGCTGTGAAGGAAACTAATCCTCACACTGCAACAACTACTTACTAAGAGTGCTCCATTCAGGGTTTTTGGGTCTGAACGCTGGAAGCAGTGTTGATTTGTTGGTCCGCAAGTAAGTCTATGATCAATCTATTAATCTATTTAGTGGCTGATCAATTGGCGCACACTTAGAAATAACTAATATTTTAGTGTAATATTAATATTTTAGTCCAAAGTCTAAATTAATGTGATATTAAAAGTTTAAACAATGCTAAAAAATATTATATTATGTGAAACATTTCATTTTTGTTTTGTAGATTGTTGATGTCAGAGCTAACCTTGATTTGTGACCTTGGGACAGAGCCAGGCTAGCTGTTGCTCCCTGTTTCCAGTATTTATTCTGTGTTTCAAATTTCTATTAATGTGAAGCAGCAGCAGTAGGAAATAACATAGCAGCAACACCTTTGTTATAAATTAGCTACAATTACAAACAGTAATGTTGGATAACATGCATGCATAATTTCTTGTGAATCACTTGTGTGTAGGTAGGCAAGATTATTCCAGCGTGGTAAGGGCAGACCCTGCTACTAACAATAAAAACTACAGTATTAAGTGGTAGTTACTGAATGTAAATACACTATGTGTCCTTTGCAGATAATTGTCAACCATAAATATGATCAAAATGCGATGTATTAGTAGTATTATAAGTAAAAATGTTACAGTTATAGTGTAAAATATGATAAATGAAGCAAAATGCAAAAATAACTGTCTTAAGATGTCTTTTTTTGTCACAGTGCTGCATAGCATTGCTGAACTGACCACTGGGACATGACACAGGTTCCCATAACACTGACAAACCGTGCCCTTTGATGTTCTGGCATTTGCCATCATAGATTATTTTTGAGTCCAGGATTAGGTTTAATCTCTCCCTGGAAAACAGGCACATCAAGATGACATTAAAGCGCTACGTGCAAATATCAGCCTTGGGTCGATGAAACCTAGATCCTGCATAGATGCAGGTAAACAGCCAGCAGCAGTACCTCCCAGCAGTTCCCATATCTCACCCAAGTACAGTAGTTATGGACAGTGGAGCATGGCAAAGGTTCAGGTAAAACACATCATGCATTATTTAGGAGTCCTTTTTAGTTTGCCTCGTCTGTCATGGATTTGTTTTGTTATATATGAGTGTGTGTATATTGAGTGAGAGAGAGGGAATAAAAGCTTTTGTTCTTTCTTTAAAAAGACTAGATTGTGTTTGCATCTCGCACTTTCACACATGCTCTTAGTGTGTGCACGTCCTGTTTCTTCTCTTTGTATGTGCATTGTGCTGGCTAGGTACGGATTGTGCATGCCAAGCCGTCTGAGTGTGCTGCAATGATAATGGTCCAAGGTCAGGAGAGTCCGCAGTAGAGATGAGAATTGGTTATTTTTAAGAGCTCAGCACAGCTCCCCTGGCTGCTTTTAAATGTTAACACTACAGTGAAACATTGCAGTGAACCCTGCGCTCAACTGCACTCAGCCACGTCCAAAACAAACAGCATCTCCTTTTCACACAAAGCCTCCATAGCTGCAAAGAGTATGGTGAAAACCTGCTGATATTGTAGTAGATAAATAACCAAGCGCTTAGACCAGATCTTTGAACGCAATACCGGCCTGAAATACAGACATTCTTTTTCAGCATTCCCGCAAAAAAATAACAAAAATAAAAACCTTTTCTCTTTTTCTTTCTGGACTTGTAAGTGAGAGTAATTTTGTCCTATTAGAGACCCGTGTATGGATGTGATAAATAACCTTGATATGATATGACCTTCCCCCTATGCAAAGCATTAGCATGCAAATTGAGTTCCCGCAAATGATCCAAGTATATAGAGATTGAGTAAACGGGCCACCGTAATACATTTAGGGTAAGCTTTCCTTACTGTCTGCAATTCTTAACACATAGCAACCTATCCTGGCTCCTTATTATGCAAATATATATAAACTACCTTGTTATACTGTACAGTGTATGAAGTAGGAAGACACATTTAATTTATTTTGATGTGAAATATACTGTACCATACACTTAATGCACAAAAAAATAAAGCTCTTTAATCACATTCTTCTTCCCTGCATTTTTTGGCGCAGTGCTGCATTTCTTACCAGCACCCATGGAGCAGTTGAATAATGTCAAACTGTTGGCCTAGATTTTGCTTCATGTCACCTGCATGCAGAGAAACCATAATGCTGTTAGCGGTCAGAAACCTTTAAGCTTAACAACAAATTTAGAATCTGAAAATGTTCTGCAATCAGTGAGTCTGCTTAAATTAAATAAATATACTTGCCAGACTAAATCAAATGATAAATAAAATACTGGTATAATCATTTTCCACTTTTTCTGTTGGTGCAACATTTCACTATTGCAGAGATTTTTCTTTCACCTCGCAGCTCATTCGAGTTATTGGGTCTAATTGCGGGCACTCTGTATGCTTACTTAGTTTGTGGTATTTCCTGGTCTTTTGTTAACAGAGGATATTTGGCTTAGTTAACTGTATACATCATTTCCTCTCTATTTTGTGTAGAGTTTAAGTAATCTATACCCTGTTTGGGATTGTCTCATTCACTTTGTGGCCAAATTATTGTCACACCACCAATGTCTTATTACCCTGTTTATCCACAATTGCTACTTAAATTTAAGGAAGTACAATCGAGCTGTCTCCAGTCTAAATATTTATCTTTTGATACCACCAACCAACCCCTGTTTGCCTTTTTGGGAAGTAGGCTGTGTGTGTTCTGCCATATGATCCATATTTTCAAGCAATGTAACTTCTACAGTCTATTTAAATTTCAAATGTTCATATTTTGGGCACATTTTCTGTTGTTGCTTATTATTTTGTTCAGATATTCAATCCCTATCCAGAGGCTACAACTTGAACTTATTAGAAGCACAGTTTTCAATCTGGCTCTCGGATATCCCGTGTATGCCTCATGTGTTTGCAGCATATTTAGCTGTGATTTTTGCCCAGGCTGCCCAGCTGCACATTAAGACGGCCGTAAGGAAAGCAAGCTTTGGGGAGTTAAAGCGGTTAGTCTGATCAGCAGAGTAGAGATGCAGCGGGAACAGGGGAAGCAGAT